GGCCTCAGGCTCTGGCAGGGGAGGGGACGAAGGGCACTTCATTGTACCTCTGGACTTTGGCCCCAGTGAGAGGCCCTGGCCAGCCCACCTGCAGAGTGCTTGTGCCCTTAGGCCCACTCTGTGCAGCTGCTGTCCACCCATGGGCTGCTGGCCCTGCAGCAACCAGAAGTGACCGCAGCCTGGCCAGCCTGTCCCATGGCAACCTGCTCTTCCTGCAGACCTGGGACTGCAGGCAGTGGACCATGTCCCTGCATGACTCTGCCTGCCCTGCCCTCTTCAGCTGCCCCAGGCTGTGAACAGCCACAGGCTCTGGTCCCTGATGTCCAAAATCCACCTGTGGGGTTTGCAAGCAGGTCCCTGTACCCCTGCTGCTGCCCCATATGGGAGACACTGACTGTTCCAAACATCCTGCAGAGTGTCACACGACCCAGCTGTGCCACAGCTTCTGCAGTGGCCTGATCCCTTGTCAGCAGCCCTTTGCTCTCCTTATCTCCGGGGCCTTTGACCCACATGTGGCCACTGCAGCGCTCAGAGCATGCTCCAGCATCAGCCCACACAGCTCCCCTCTCCCAGCCAGCTTCTGTGCCTGCTGCTGTTGCCCCTGGTGATGGTGGGAAGCCTTGGGCTGCTGCAGGCAGGAAAGGGAGCACCTGGCCAGCTGTGGGGTTCTCTTCCTGCCTGTGTGATTCCTGCACTGAGGAGGAGGGAAAGTGGCTCTGAGGGCCTGCTGCATTGCATGGCTGTGTTTTCACCAGCCTAGCTGCATCCCCTTGAGCAACTCCACACAGGGCACTTGCTCACTCCCGTCCTGCTGGGTGCACACACGCACACCTTCCACCCTGAGGTGGCCCAGAAGAGCAGGCGCCACCCTTCACCTTGGGGCCGGCTGTCAAGGGCAGGGCCTGGGAGGTGCTGCAGGTGCCTGGGCACTCCTCTCTGCCTCGCTGCCTCCACCCCTCGTGCCAGGCTGGGCCAGTCTGCTGTGGGCTCTTGCTGTTGGCTGCTGTGCAAGTGCTGTTAAAGCCGACACATGCTCCGATCCACACCTGTTCGGTGCCTTGTCTCCCTGCCCAGCCCTGGGGTGGGCTGACACGCTGCGCTCTGCCCCAGGTGCACCTACAGACGCAGCAGGAGGTGAAGATGCGGATGACGGGGATGGCGATGCACGTGATCCGCACCGACGGCTTCCTGGCCCTCTACAACGGGCTCAGTGCCTCGCTGTGCCGGCAGGTGAGTGCTGGAGCTCCTGCAGCACCTGCTGCTGCTGAGCAGCTGCCCTGTGCCAGGACACAGCCGCTCATTTCCCCCTCATCCAGATGACATATTCCTTGACTCGCTTTGGCATCTATGAGACTGCAAAGAACCGCTTGGGCAACCAGGGGCCTCCCCCCTTCTACCAGAAAGTGCTCTTGGCTGCAGTAGGAGGTGAGCCAGGCAGTGGGGCCCTTGGCCCTGGCTCCCTCAGGATGGATAAGCCCCTGACCCAACTCTTCTTTGGCCACAGGTTCCACTGGCGGCTTTGTGGGAACCCCGGCAGATATGGTGAACGTCAGGTCAGTTCTGTCCACACAACCTGGGCTTTTGACACGTGCATGATGGCATTTGGAGTGGTGGCTAGTGCTGGAGTTCTCCTGACATCTCTCCTGGCCAGCGTGCCCCGTGCTCAGTGGGCCAGGAGCTCTGTGCCCAGGACGGCCAGAGCTATTCTGCCTTTTGGTGACAGCACCCAGCTGTGTGTGACCCTCAGGGGGAGTGGGACTGAAGGCAACTTTCTTGGCCCTTTGTAAACGGGCAAGACGATTCCACTGCGCTGTGCTGGGGTCCCCAGTGCTGCGGGGAACAGTGGGGTACCGGCTGCCCCCTCACCTGCGGTGCTCTGCCTTCCAGGATGCAGAACGACATGAAGCAGCCGCCGGCTCAGCGGCGCAAGTGAGTGAGGGGCCAGGGCTCGGGGCGCTGGGGAAGAGGGGCGGGAGGCCTGGAGCGGCCTGCGGGACCGGCGGGACCGGGGTCGGGTCCGCGCGGCCGCGGGGGGGCAGCACCGCACCGGCG